AAAGAAATGGGGTCGACTTGGGAGCAAAGGCACAGGTGGATGGTGAATGGCCCCTCCCAGAGGAAATAAAAGAGGAGCGAAAGGGGAGTGGAGTTTGCAGGAGACAATTCGTTCACTTAATTGGTTAGTGACTCTCCGAGTCTCCTTGCCAGGTTTTGCAGATATCGGCCTGTCAGCCCTCCAAGCCAGAGAAGGTCTGTGACTGTAAATCCTCCCTTTGAAAGACTTTGCTGGATGTGAATGAGCAGAACTCACAGTCAATTAATAAAGGTTTTTTTTGTCGGGACCAGGAGTTTGCTTCATGCTCTTGGGAACATGTAGCTTGTCTTCTTGATTCACTCACCCAAGTGCTGGAAATATTCCTCAACCCCACTCCATGCATTCTTTTCAATGAAAGTCTTCACAAGGGACCAGGGCTGCTTCCGATATCGAATTTCGGAGGAGACTCTGTAATGGAGAACGAACTGTTACAGGTGGGCCAAAAAAACCCCTTTCTGTTCCCCTCGTGGAATGCTGGGAACTGCGAAGAGGGATCCATTTGGCAAAGAACGGAATACTTTGTTTGTCTTGGAAACCCAAAAGATCTCTGGCGTTATTTAATCTTCCCTATATCTATCTCATCTTCTTCCATTTCTTCTGACGTTACAAGATCAAGTGTTCTCCAAGGAGGTCGGAGGCTCAGTAACCTTTTGTGTTTTCAGAACCGGGAAGGTGGGGATATAGGTCATTCTTTGTTGCTGAATGCCACATGTAAGCTGACCCGAAGATGCTCAGAGTCATGCATTTAGATTACAGTCTCCATCTCAACGTGAACACTGAGCGGCAAACCGCGAACTGGCTGGCTTCATATGTTTTTGCATTGCTTCTTCCCCATTCTGATTGAGTAACAGAATAACAGAGTTGGAAGGGACCTTAGAGGTCTTCTAGTCCAACCCCCTGATCAAGCAGAAAACCTTATGCCACATCGGATAAATGGCTGCCCAATCTCTTTTTAAAAATCCTCCAGTGTTGGAGCATTCACGACTTCTGGAGGCAAGTCGTTCCATTAGTTTATTATTCTCACGGTCAGGAAATTTCTCCTTAGTTCTAGATTGGTTCTCTCCTTGATTAGTTTCCATCCATTGCTTCTAGTCCTGCCTTCAGGTGCTTTGGAGAACAGCAATAGCACTTAAGACTTATATACCGCTTCGTAGTGCTTTTGCAGCCCTCCCTAAGCGGTTTACAGAGTCAGCCTCTTGCCCCCAACAATCTGGCTCCTCATTTTACTGATCTCGGAAGGATGGAAGGCTGAGTCAATCTTGAGCCGCTCAGAATCGAACTCCTGGAGTGAACTGTGAGCTAGCCTGCAGTACTGCATTCTAACCACTGAGCCATCATAACTCTTATCTTCTTTGTGGCAGTCCCTTAGATATTGGAATACTGCTATCATGTCACCTCCCAGTCCAGTGATGGTTAATCTTTTTGTCCCTGCGTGCCGAAAGTGCGCAAAAGCCTCCTGGGACCAAAAATGGGGCACAAGGGACACTGCTCCCCCCACTCCTCCCTGCATACACATGTGACACCCCCCACCCTCCACGCATGTGCGTGTGACCCCCTGTGCATGAGTATGCATCTCACACATGCTCACCCAAAATCAGCTGGTGGGCAGAAGGCATGCGCGCATGCGCAGAGGAGCTGAGCTGGGGCAACGGCTCATGTGCCCGCAGAGAGGCTCCATGTGCTACAGGTTCACCATCAAGGCCCTAGTCCTTCCTTTTCATGTAGCACTGATTGATGCATCTTTTTCACCCCAATCAAGAGTTTTAGACAATTTGAACTTTTGTACATCTTTGTCTGATTCATGCAATGTCCTTCTACGGATTAAGTGTACGGCTACGTGGCATCAATAGCAATAGCAATAGCAGTTAGACTTATATACCGCTTCATAGGGCTTTCAGCCCTCTCTAAGCAGTTTACAGAGTCAGCATATTACCACCACAGACTTGGGCCGCATTTCACA